AAACATTAAAATACACAGATTTATCTCTACAAACCACATCTTTTTAATTAACTTTTTAATTAACATATGTGGTCTGTAGCTCATATTTAGACCTGCATTCAGACCAATGGACAGTTGAAGCTGTAGAGCTCTAAAATGATAAATCATCTTTGAATATTGGCAGTTCTTAGGGGCTTACTTCCTACAAACAACTGTTTTGGGGTTTCTTTTTAACTCACAAAGTGTTCAGCACTTATTTTTGGTTTGTGGTCCAGCAATAATTTGTGTCTGTGCCATTCTTTCACTTTGAGTTAGTTTGACTTTAAATGCTGCTGCACTATATTTTAGGTATGTTGTTAAAAAAGAGTAAGACAAACAGCATGTTCTCTATTCTCTAAACTATTATTAAAAATAACAATAAGCTGGATAAATAATAAATAAACAACGAGGCTGGACCCAGATGATGAAGAAAGAAACACCATAAAAACATGATGTAATTAAGGGACAACCATGTGAATTTTGAATAAAATATTTGCTCTTTGTTTGATTTTATCCACTTGAATTATTTGCCTTTTTCTCTACTATGTCTCATCGTGGTGCGACTGCAACTGAACGCATGAATAGGCCTAACCCTCAATAGGCCCAAAGCCTGGAGGAGTCCAAATTGCAAGTCTATTAGAAAGCATGATTGCATAGAAGTAAGTAGTATTTAAGGCTTAGGAAGCGCTATAGTTGAACCAAAACCAGCTGCTATTTTCTGGTTGTGTCCCACCATGAACAATAGCCTGGCGTTACCTTAGCTTCAAAGGCTCCATAATAGTCAATCGATCAGAATGCGAGGCGCTATTCTGCAGATTACTGTTAACAATAATTTGCCTCCCAGTGCACCGTTGCCATCTTTGAAGCAATGTTTTATTGCCTTTTTTTTTTTCCTTCTTCCATCTGCATCTGTCATCCCCGAGGTCCACTGTTTGATCTCTCCCCACCAGTGTCTGCCTCCCCGGGGTCGCGTTGACCTGTTGATTGGCAGCTGCGATCAGACATATGGTGGGACGAGGCATCGACCGCAGCTCCCCGGAGACAAAAGCAGACTAGTGGGGTTTTTTCCCCCTTTTTCACCGCGCCGAGGAGCCGAGGAGCCGAGCGGCAGCAGCAGCACCAGGGAAGAGGTCTGATCCCACCACTAGATGACGCAAGGTGCAAGCGAATATCTCCAGCCATGTTTAGGCTATTTAATGTAAGTGGTAAGTTTAGTCCTCTTTTTTATTGAACCCAACCTCATTTTCAGTTATTCCTGTTGAAAATAAGACACGTGGTGTGATAATTAAGCTCTGCATTATTTACCTTATACATTAGTCTACTTGTGAAGTATTTTCCCAACTGTTATTATTTATTAATATAAAGAATTTTCTAAGAAGATATTTCTTCTTGTCAGATACTACTTCCCTTTGTTGTGACACTTTGACCCCTATAATGGAGCAGAATGATGGGGTTGTGTGGCCATCTCAACAGATCAAATATGACCTCTGGAGCAGGGCAAATAATGAATGTGGATGTGACAAACCATGGAGTTCATGCCAGGCTTTGGATTTAGTCCAGCTGTGTGTTAGCTCACTGGAAACCAATTGGAGCTAGCTTGACTCCCAGTTTTAAAAAAAAACCCAGGTTTGATGCTCAGCCTGGTGTGTGTGTGTGTGTGTGTGCATGATTTCAGCATACAGAATGCAAAACACCCCCATCTCTCCTCCTATAGTGAGCAGAGTGTTGCCATGGTGATGCATCTCTGACCAGGGTCTTGCAGTGATCTCCACTGACCCTGGTTGGTGACCTCTGACATTTAGGCCATGGCCAGGGTCAAAAGGTCAGCGATGGCCGGAGGGCAACAAGAGCACTTCCATGATTGGCACTCTGACATGCTCGCTGCCCCCTTCATGTACAGCGCTCATCTGCCTCCCGGTTTGCACCTCTTATTTGCATTTGTTACGGAGCGAAGACCCATCGGATGCAGGATGTTCATCGCCCCACTGCTTTGCATTGCACCCGAGCAGGTAGCCTGTTTTATGCTCTCAGCAATGCAAGACTCAATACTGTATAATTTGCATTCAATGCCGCTGCACGTTCTAGGTTTCTCCACTTCAGTTTTGTGCAAATGGTGATGATAAAATGCAATCTCCAGCAGGTCTAACATCCTGTATCATGATGGTTATGATAGCAGTAATGATCATCAGTATTCCCATGGCCCCTGTAATCCACTGTATGTGAGGATATTTATAGTTCTTCATGTGATAGTGTGTGTGTGTGTGTGCATGTTTGTTCATATCTAGTGTGTGTGTGTGGGGGGGCAATGCACCACACTGTGGTTCTTCTCATGGGGAATAATTACAGAATCGTGGGTACTAAAAGTCATGTGACCCTAGCCTTCTGCTCCCAAATAATTTATCCCCCCGGCTGATAGCTCGTCAATATCA